ACATATTTCTAGTTGAATAGATCGTCCTTCATCTCACAATCTATATATATTTTTGTATGAGATGTACGATCAATGTCAAGTACCACTGTATAGTCAGTTCACTGAGATCATTGAAAGTAAATATTTGCTAAGCATTTTATATTAAAACATAAAATTCACGATGTAATTGATAACGAAACATATGAACAAAATTTCTTTTTTTTTCCTGATAAGATAAAAAGTCGAATGATACATGTATTGATTACAAATTACGAAATCAACCTTTTTCAAATTTAATTACATATGCATATTCGAACAGATAAAACAAAATCATTTTCTATTCAATCATTGAAAGTATAAATCGATTTCTTTTTTCCTCTTACCTCCATGAATAAGTTCATAAGTACATGTATCGAAACCAATACTATTATTTGCTGTAACATTAAATGAATGAAAATCTTCAATAGATGTTGGTGTAATATCAAATTGAAAGAATAAATCATTTTGATCACCATATGTTCGACGTACAACTGATTGTGATAGACCATTTATTGAATAACGTAGATAATTTGGATTAGCTCTTGAAACAGTACAATTAATTGTACGTGTTTGATTAATTCCACAGTAGATTTTTTTTGATTTTTCTATAACACTAGGTCGAACTAGAAAACAAATATATGTGTTCATTAATGAGAAAGAATCTATTGAATAAATAATGATTATTATTTTAATGGTATCAAATTTTTTTCTTTTTTTTAATTGAAATCAAATATTTTACATACATTCAATATAGAGTTGTTTAGTTGATGATACAATAAGATTTTTGTCGATATGTTTCATATCTGCATAACATGTTATATTCTTCCCATTATGTTCTGGTGTTAATTTATTGATACGATAAGTTTCATAGACACTTGGTTTAAATTGATCATTAATCATAGTTGGTGGTTCATGTTTACCAGCTAATGCCATGATTTCTGGCATTGTTCCATTTTTATCTATTAATATATCAAGTGCTGGACGAGGATATCCATCAGCTGCACAAGCAATATCTAATGATTCACCTTCAACCATAGTTAAACAATTGGTATTATCAATTCCACAAAAATCATTATTATACACACGAGATGATGAATGTAGATTCGTTAAATATACATGTTGAACAGGTACTAGAAACAATTCATTTATTTTATCTGATAGATATCGTTACATACACAAAAAATAGTTTATCTAACTTCGAAATACCTATCAAATAACATTATTACTCGATTAAGAATATAATAGGGAAATATTTCTTGAATATGAAGAAAATTAAGATGAAATTCTTTGATAGAAAATGATACGCTATCGATTAATGATGTAACTTATATGTTAAATGAAGATATTTTCAAGTATAAATGAAATTACATCATTGATAAATAAGATATTTCTTTTATCTTTAAACTTACCATATACTTGAAGTCTTTGCCATTCAGTATCATCTTGTGGACATTTATAAAGTCCACTATCACTTTCAATAACATTATTTATTCTTAATACACTTGTACTATATGGATTTGAAAGACGTTCATGTTTGGGTGGTTCAAGTATTGAATTTTTTTTCCCATCAAAACTTCGATATTCATAAGCATAAATTGATGTTGTACGATTGTCACATAATTCAGCTATATCGCCACGTTTAACATATACTATTGTTTGTTGACCAAAACTAATTTTTGGTGTAGTTAATAATAAAACAACAAGAAAGTAAAAAGAATAGAATAACATCAGATCATTATACATAGTTCATCTGAAATGAGAATAGAACTAAAAAAGAAGAAGAATCATAACTATTATCTCTTACGGAAATGTAAATATAAATGATGAATCTATATTTGCTTAGAAAATGGATAGAAAGAGAAGATTGAAGAGTAGTGTTTTTCTTCTCCTAGAATAGATTGATTATATGAGAGAGAGAGACAGATAGTGAAACGAAAGAAAAACGAGACGTTCTGTTATTATTATCGACCTCTAAATACCGAAACAGGTAGTGGGTAATAATATTCTATTATTAGAAAGAGTAAAAGGAGAAAAGATGAAATGAAACTAATTATCCAAAGCAAATCGTCGAGTATCAACCTTGGAATAAAAGAATAAAAGAGAGAAAAAAAAGAATAAAATCGTTATTTTATATGGTCTGTGATCATCGTTCTTATTGGTTTGTATCTGGATCACATATGTAAGACGAAGAAGAAAAAAGAAAAGACCCGTTGGGTTGCATACGACACTTAACGGCTCGCTCGCGTTCAACTATTAGTAATTGGTGCCGTCGATTACAAACGCGCGTGTGCGCTTGTCGTTTTATACACACAGGCAATAGTATATTTTTTACTGTTCGCTTGTGCTAGTTGTGTATGTATATACATAGTTGTTTGCAGGAACAGTAGAAGTAACAGGAATAGGACGCCGACGAGGAAAAACGATGACGGCGAACTGTTGACCGTTTATGTTGCACAACAGTGAGTGTCAATGACATGCATATGATCAAGATGTAAGAGAGACAGAAAGAGAGGAAGAGAGAGAGAGTAAGCGTTTGCAAGAGTGATGAGTGATACGATAACATGATTATGTGCATATATGCGTATGTGAAAAAGTGCCGAAAATGATAATAGTATCCATGAGTAAGATAGACGAGAGTGAATATTACTATATAGATAATCTCAAGAGAAAGTAGATAGAAATTGGAAATTTTGCATGCTAAAATAAATCATTTATGATTACATACCTATGAATGTTAAGAAGACATCTATATCATTGGCATGTAAATATCGTAATTTATCGCCTAAAAAAATTTTTCTTTCGAATGCATATCATAGAAATAGAAGCGGTTAAAGAATGTATAAATACAATACAGATGGTGATTTTAGAATATCTCTTTACAATTTCTTTATGCACGCAATGATAATCGTAGAGTATTTTCTTCGTGTCATGATCATGATACTACTATTTTTCTCGCTCGTTCTCTTTTCGAAGAATTACTATAGGATGCAAACGAGCGTATATGTACGCTTGCATAGAATGCAGATGGCATGAACACTTTTTTCCTTTTTTTTCTGTTTCTATTCTACTGAAGGAAAAAAAGAGATGACCATCATCATTTCTACGCCAGTCAGAGAAGAGAACAAGTAATGAATGAATGAGTGAATGAATGAATGAATGAATGGATGAATGACGTTCTTTCTTCTATGTCTCGGTTTTTTTTTATGTTGTCTCTGTATGTATATGTGTTTGCTTCCATTCCTCAGCGTATCGAAACACACACACACACATACTCTTATGCATACAAAGAGAAATAAAGACTGAGAAACAAAAGAACAAGATGAAAAAATCGCGCATATATTGTCGATAGATGAATCTGGATAATGAAACAAGTCAACCTACCGATGTTGATGCCAGCCGGTCAAAGCACGTCCATTCATACATAATAAGTAGGATAAAAGAAGAAGAAAAAGAAGATGAAGAACAGAACCACAAAGCTTAAAAATACAGCAAAGAGAATATTATAGTGTAATAAGATGACAGCAATAAGTTTTCAACTAAGTTAACAAGTCAACACTAGATTTGACACCGTCCTATTCAGAAAGTAAAAACACTTAAATCTGTCTATGTTCTAAGACAAAAAGAAGGATATCGATTCGAAACAAAATAATGTTTTGCTTTTTATTTAATACTTCAAATTTTCTCAATGATATCGAAATTTAATTGTTCTCTCTTGTCTATTATTTAATCAATTTGATATCGAACGAAGATATGATGATTCAAGATGATGCTATAAAAAACGGGTCCTTCAACATTCGACTGTAAGCTTAAACTAATTCAAGTGGTCACTCATAAACAAGTCGTTTGAGTAATGAAGGCAAAAGTTATATATATATGAACGGGCGCAAGTTAATGACGTACTGGTAATGATAGTTGACGGGAAGAGAGCAAAAAAAGAGCAAGGAACATCCAATTTGATTAGTTGTATGTCACTAACATTGATCGACGAGAGCACATACTTATTCATATTGAACCAGCAGCATTTTGCTAGTAGGATTGCATAAGTTTATATATATGTATATCGTATACAGACAATAAATGATCGAATTACACACTTGACATATGTACAAGAAAAGCGACATATATTCAATGCTTCAATACAATTAATATCTTCTACATATTAGAGAGATATAAATAATAAAGCAAAGATGACTTTCACATTTCTTTTTTCCTTCTTCTTCTCCTTTACAATATGATTATCGGGTAAAATCAGCATATTTATGAAGTCATTGTCTTCCTTTTGATGTCGTCAAAAGGTTTCAAATATATGCAGAAGAAATAAAAAAAACGAGAAAGTGAAGGAGAAATAAAACAGATTTACCATCTTCTTTTGTATCAATCACATAGATGTATATGTAAAATGCATATATATATATATATATATAAGGACGTGCATTTTGTAGACTTCTTAAGTAAATCGATCTAGGCTTTAAATCAACAATCTCATATATCGTAGCCAATAAAACGTTCTTAAAAATCCAATCCATAATTTATTCATATGTATATAAAAAACTTCAATTTGATTGGTTAAAAATAAATCCAATAAAAATATATCAACAATATTCGAAGTGAATGCATTAATGATTATAAAATCATTCTATTAGTGTATATTTTATTTTTATTTTAGATCTATTTACTTTATTAGTTCTTTAACTTATATACGATTATTCATAGATACCTAGATTAATTTTATTGTTAGCTAATCAATAGAATTTGGAAGAAGAAGAAGAAAAAAAAAGAACACAGAACGAGCAATAAACAATTGTCTTTTTCCTAGTGTCACGTGCATTTTTTGTGTATTTCGACTGTTGGACGATGCGGACGTTGTTTCTTTTTTGGTAAATAATCATTTATTATGTATAATTATTCAACAGTCATATATTCTTTTATATTCTAGATGGATTTTTTACCTATGACTCATCAACTATTAAGTCACTGCCGTGATGAAACGCAATGCCCACACGGCAAATCCTTCTTTAACTGAAACTATTAATAATAATAATTCTCCAAAACGTTGTTGTACGCAAAAAGATAATAAAAATTGTGTTGCAAGGTATAAATTATTGAATTTTAAATATTTTCTTCATTTTCTTTTTTCTTTTAAAGTAATTCTTCAACTGCATCTTCATCATCAATTGATAATATTTCATGTTCAATTGTTTCATCATCAACATCAAGTGATTTATTAAACATGGAAGCAACTATGGATAATTTAATAGCTATGGGTTTTACTGATCGAGAGTTAAATCTTAAAGCTTTATCGAAAGCTGGAAATGATATAAATGAAGCCATTACTTTTCTTACAAATCCAACATGTTTTAATGATGATGTTATTATTCCTAAAGAATCAACAACATTCATCGGTCCACTTACAAAAGAACAAGTTGATCAACAACAACAACAACCACAACAGCAGATGGTAAGATGAAAGTGAGAATATAGGACTTGATTTAAAAAATGAATTGTTTTTAGGTTTCATCGGATAATAATTCAAGTGTGTTGTCAGATGACTTATCAATGAACAATTCCAATTCATTCACAACAAGTGCTTTTCTTGATCTCGAAACAAAAGTCTACGGAGATAATTGGTCTATTCCCTATAAACGTAAATTTTATTTCAAAGAAATATTTTAGATCTAATTGTTTTATTTATTTAGGTGATGAAGTTCTTGGTCGATGTCTTTTATCAGCTGTGAAACTTGCTCTTGCAGGTAAAATTAGCAGTTATTAATATCTTATTTTGTTATGTTCTATTTATAATACTTTTTTAGGTACGGCTGATCAAGATGAACATTGTAAAAAATTTATGGAAATTTTAATCCCAGATGCTTTTCGAAAAGTATAACAAAAAAAAATATTTATATTGATAAATTTTATTGAATTTTGTTTTTCAGTTACAATGTTCTCATCATGTTAATAATTGGGGAGTTGAAGTTCAATTAGGTGTATTTGATATGGTGGAATTATTAATTGATTTAATCGCTGCACGTCTTTCTTATTTTCCAGTACCTGTTCAATTACTTGAAACATTAACTATACTTTTTGATCATGATTCAGTTTTCCAACGAAAACATAAAAGTAAACCATATGATCGTTTACTTTATGATAAACAATTAGGCGACCGTATATTGGCTAATTCACCATCACCATCAACATTTTCTGTTTATAATCGAAGTGAACCATATGGTTGGCTATGTCAAATAATAAATCGTTTCGTCTTAAAAGATGGTATTCAAAATTTAAAAGAACAATTTAAAAGTGAACAATCATTAACAGCTCTCGTAAGAAATAGAACATTCCCTAATTCTTTACTTATCATTCTCTACTTATAGGAATACAATGCATTACTTTCACCATTCGTTAATTGTATGGACTATATAATTGTAGATAAATATCGACAATTATTTAGTGAACATACTGAACAAGCATTAGAATATGTTAAAAATTTAAAAGAAGAAGATTTTAAAGCAAAAGTATGGACTTGCATTTTCATTCTTCGTAAATCTTTTTTTTTAATTTTTAGTCAATAAATTCAACATTTGAATTACTTTCAACCTTACGTAAAATATGTTCCGTCGTATGGTCTGCTCGTCTTGAACAAGTTGAAGAATTACATCTTAATTTGTTACTTAAAATGGTTGCTCTATCAAATTTTAATGCCAAAATGAATTCATTAAAAGAAGTAAAACATAAACGAAATTTAATTGAATGTTATTTTTCGTTTGATTTAGCTTGCAAAGATTATTGAAAATTGTACATCAAATATTCAAAGTATATCGAAAACATCAATTCCACGTGATATTGTTAGTGAATGGATTATTGAACATTCTATACTTTCGAAAGCATTAGAAGGTAAAGAAATATTTTGCATTTAATTTATTTATTTATCTAAATTTATCTAGGAAATATTGATCAAAATCAATATGTTGAAAAAGTTCGTACATTAATGGATTTTATTGCACCAAGAATTTTAAAAGAAGATATTGAAACTATATGGAAAATGCAGGTATTTAATAAAAATTGTAAAAATGAAAAAAATAATGTTTTGTTATTTCAGCATGGTCGTTCTCTCGTTGCAGTTGATCATTTATTTACATTGATTGCGTCTGCAGCAGCAAAATTTAATTTAGAACAACTCAATCATCTGATTGGTTTAATTTATAATGTAATTAAACTAGTATTTTTTTTAGTTTCGTTCTATTCTTTCGTTTATAGTCATGGAAAACTGAAACAATTCTTATTCAAGAAAAATTAATTGAATTACTTGGTGCTATTGGTCGTGAATGTCAAAAAGATTCTGCTGCTCGTGTGCTAGAAATTCTTTGGGATATGGCGCATGAAGATCGCCTCAGTCGTTCAATGCTTGAACATCTTCTTCATTGTCATTTACGTGTATTTAGTGAAGGTCGTTCACCTTATGATGCACTTAAACGTGATTATTGCCTTAAATGTATGACTGATTTACAACGTAAACAAGGTTGGCTTGTACCGGCTATAAAACATTTATATGAATTATTACGTCATGATTCAACAAATACATTTAAACGTTCAGATCAAGATCTTATATCAGTATTAGTTAATAAACATGATTTAATCTCCGCATTAATTCAAAGTTTATCAACATGTCAATTAGATGTTTGGAATAAAACTCAAGGACATGTTACAATTGATACATTAGTTGATGGACGTTTTACACATGAAGAATCAATAAAAAATCATTTAGATTTATTATCTTTCTTACTAAAAAAAGGAAATCTTTATTTAATATTAAAACGTAGTGAAGAATTATGGGATACATTAATAACAAATGAACATGGTAGTTCATTTGATCGTGAACTTGGTTTAAATTGGTTTATAACATGTTCAGAAGATCTTAATCGTGATTCTGAATTAGCTTTATTTGAAAAACGTGTATCAAAACTTGATCCAATACATTTAACACCTAAAGGTACAAAACAAAATCTCAATTTATAAATTATTAAAATTTTTGTAATTTAGGTTATGCTTGTTTTAAATTATATTTTGAACGATGTAATCTAGAACGATGGAGTCAATCAAGAAATTCGAATTATAGTTCAAATGCATCAACATCATCAGATGTAAGAACAAAAAAATGAGTTTAGGACAGTTGCTCACTAGGACATTTGCTCGCCAGGGTGTGCGTGTGAGTGTTGAAAGTATAGAATACTCACACCCACCCCACATCCACACCGACACACACACCCATATCTATACCGACACACACACCCATATCCATACCGACACCCACACTTATATCCACATTCACACCCAAACTCACGCCCTCACCTACATCTACACTGACATCCAAACTCACACCCACACTCACACCCGCACCCACACCCACACCCACACGCACACCCTGGCGAGCAAATGCCCGCGCGCGACTGTCTCACGAGCTACGGTCCTGCGAGCAACTAACCGTTTCCCCAAAAAAATAGAATAAAAAAAAAATGATTGATTTTTATTTTAATAGAATGAAATGTTAGAATATAAATGTATTAATGAATTATGGAATATAATCTTATGTGTTAGTGATGATAATCTTGCTAATGATGCTACACGATTTTTACTTGATTTATATTATACTAAACAACCAATTCGTGCACGTCGTCCAACTGCTCAATCTCTACATGAATGTTTTCTTAAAGAAGTTTATACACGTTTAAGTTCTCTTCTTAATTCAGCTATTCCACCATCAACTCCATTAACACCAAATCTTGAACAATATTATAAATCATTAAAAACTTATGGTGAACAATTAATAACTACAGATTCGACAATAAATCAAAATGATTCATCAAATACAATTGATCATACATTATGGTTAAGAAAAATCGAACGTTTATTAATGATAACAGAAGAATATATTCATCTTGTTGAACATGAACATTCACCAACAGCACATATAACATCATTTCATGGTTTAGAATATCAAATAAAAATCATTCTTGGTGAATTAGGTAAAATCAATTGTCCATATGATATTGCAATTGTTCATTCAAATGATACATTGGAAATGTTACGTATACGTCTTGGTCTATATTATAAAGTTCCATCTCATGATATCCATATATCAATACAAAATACTCGTCCATTACCTCCATCATATGATCAATTGGGTCCTATAAATAATGCGATTGCATTACCATTAAATAATTCATCATCATCATCAACAAATACAACTGTTTTAGGTTCATGGTTAAATTCCAAATATTTATATCAAGTTCATATAACACCTGGTACAACAATATATATTAAAATCTTAGGTAGTTCATCAAATCAATCAATAAAAATAACTAATAGTGAACCAATACGTCTTTATTTAACACATTCAACACAAAATATAAATAATGATCATTTAACACCATCAAATATGATTGCAGAAAATTTAAAAGTTTATGATATTTTATATAAATTATCTTATTTAAATAATAAAAATATTCATAATCGTATACGAAATCTTTTACGTTTAATGCCATCGGATATTCGTATAGTTGATTTACTTGATTTAATATCATTTCGTGCAGCAAATATATGTATAAATGAACGAAGACAATCAACCGAAAATGTTAATAATAATAATAATAATAATAATAACAATAATAATCAAATTAATCCAAAAGAAGCTATTGAACATGTTTTTAATTTACAAGAAAGTAGTTTAATAAAAATTTTATATAATTTAGAAATTTTATCAAGTAAAATCTCTCCACTTTCGAATAATATTGGTATAAAACAAAGTTCAAAATTATTTCGACAAGATTTTATTGAACAATCAGGTGTAGAATTTCTTTTTAAATTACTTCAATCATTAAGTCATTGTATACATGATGAATATCAATATTCATTATGTGAAGAAATGACAATATTAATTTTACAATTAATACAATTATTACTATGTGGAAATAATAATAATACTAATCAACAACAACAACAACAACAAGAAGATATACTTTTATCAAGACCAACATCTCCAATAGCTGTAACAGCAAATGATAGTGTTATGGATACGATTGATTTTGATTTTCAAGCAACTGTTGAACATTTACAATTCGAAGAATTTATTGGACAAATAAAACAATTGATATTTTTATGTTGGGCAGCTGCAGCAGGAAATATACGTTTACAAGAACAAAGTTTAACTATAAAAGAACAAGTTAAATTAGATCGTTATGCATTATTACAACAAGTAAATGCAAATATTTTCTCTCGAAATAATAGTAAAAATTCATCATCAAGTGATTCATCAATAAATAATAATGTACAACAAACAGTACAATATGGAATTTGTGTTAGAAAAGATTCAATTTTACCATTAGATAGTGAAGTAGCTGAAAAAATTATTGAAATTATTATATATTGCTTTGAAAAAAGACCAGAATTTATTGGTATGTATGAAAATCTCTTATAATGAACACCTCCGTATGACAGTTTTATGCAGTGAGTGGGCGGCACCCACCGAAAAAACCCAGTAGCTGTATATTTTGAGATGGGCTCTGGATGAACGCCACCCACCCTAAATTTCGATTCGTCCATCCGAAAAACAAAAGCTAGATCAGGGGTGTCATATTACCTGTTGCTATCACTTCCACTTACCAACGGTATGGTAAGTGCTAGCAGAAACCTTTTTGACAGCCTCTTGCCAACACTTACCATATCATTTGTAAGTGGTTACTGTTACCAGGTAAGTGGTAAGTGTTATTGGTTACCACTTACTAGTAACAGTAAGGGGAATGTGACAACCCTGACCTGGATAAAACACTGCTCTGTATTAAAGATACTATCACGACTTAGCAGACGTCTACACGAGATCAACGACTTGTCTGTATTTCAGTAGATAGAATTTTCGAAACCACCCACATCGCTTATTTTTGCTTAATTTTTATTACACATGGATTTAGGGAAAATTCGCATTTCTTTTAACCTTTTGTTACTTGGAAAATTTTGTAACGCTCTTTGTCATGATCAAGATATGAGAATATATGCAAAAAATAGTGACATTGATAAAAATATCTTTCCTTTTCTTTTTTGCTTAGCTACATTTCTTGTTCAACCATTTTTTGCTGATTTTCTTTTGGAAATTTTAATCAGTACAAGTTCTCGTGAAGTTCGTCAATGTGCATTACGTAATATAATACGTTTATGTAAAATTGAAACATCTGCATGCGATATACGTGCAGTTATACATCAAATATTATTAAAAGCACGATTACCATTATGGTCAACATCAAGTGCTGGTACACGAGGTCCAAATCAAAAACTTTTAGCACAATCAATTGAATATTTTGATTTACGTTGTCAATTAACAGAAAATTTAACAAAAGAAATGCAAAAAATGCTTCATATTGATGCTCAACAAATATTAACGGATGAATTTAATTGGCTATCAACATACACAGTATCTTCAATATCAAATGAATTACGTGCAATTGATAATATTCTATTTATGGGTCATTTAAGATTCATTCGTACATTATTAACATGTGAAAATATTAATAAAATTGAATTTGGTAATGATTTTATACGTTTACTTATTGATCAATTTTTATTTCCGGCTTCAAAAAGTATGTCATTAACAATAACACCAACAAATAATGAAAATGATTTATTGGATAATTCCGTACCGGAACCAAAATGTTCAACAAGTGAAAGTCGTTTAGCTGCATATGATGTACTTGTTGAATTAGTTCGAAATTGCCGTCCAAATTTAAAAATTGTTGTAGAAGATCTTATTAATCTACATCATAGACCCATACTTGAAAAACAAACTGAATGGGAGGTAAGATTATATAAAAAAATATATAAATATTTTTAAATATTTACTTTGTACATAATTTAGTTTATGCCTCAAGTAAATCCGCGTGCAACATGTGGTTTAGTTGGTCTCTATAATGGTAAGTACAATAAATGATTAGAATCGATGTTGATGTGCTTTACTTTAATATAATATTTTCTTTAGGTGGTGCAACTTGTTATATGAATTCTATTCTTCAACAATTGTATATGTTACCGCAAATTTCTGAACATATATTAAGTGTACATGATGATCTTGAAAATACAACAAATGGAACGAATAATAAAAATGGTGATTCAAGTTTATTCTATCAACTTCAACAAGTTTTTGGTCATTTAATGGAAAGTAAAATGCAATATTATTCACCTGAATCATTATGGAAAGTATTTCGTTTATGGGGACAAGAAATAAATATACGTGAACAACAAGATGCATTTGATTTTTTTACAGCAATGACTGATCAAATTGATGAATATTTAAAAAGTATGAAACAAGAAGAAATATTTCGTAAACAATTTGAAGGAATTTTTTGTAATCAAATGATATGTACAAATGGTTGTCGTCATCGTTATGAAGGTGAAGAAAGATTTATGGCATTAAATGTTGCAGTTAAAGTTGATTCACTTAATGAATCATTAAATCAATTTGTTAAAGGTGAAGTACTTGATGGTAATAATGCTGTAAGTAAATGATTTCTTCTACTGAAAAAACGAAAAACAAAATGAAATACTATTTTTAGTATTTTTGTGCTAAATGTCAAGAAAAACGAACAACAATTAAAAGATTATGTATTAAAAAATTACCACCATTATTATGTATACAAATGAAACGTTTTGGTTTCGATTGGGAAAATAATCGTGCATTAAAATTTGATGATTATTTTAAATTTCCATTAGTACTCAATATGGAACCATATACATTAGATGGTGTTAATAAACGTGAAAGTTTTGTTGAACATGATGATTCAACAAATAATACACATAATGATGGGCTAATTAATTCATCAACAGGTAAAGAAAATTTTTCAATTGATTATAGAGAATTACTAGAGAGTGTGAGTGTGGATAACAGAGACCGGCAAAACTTGTCCCGCGATGGTGCTCACTCCTATGCTACCTCTTGAGGAGCACGCTTCTACGCCATCTCGATGTTTGAGGAGTGGTGCAGGAACACGAAAGAAACTTATTAGTTCTTGGAAAACTTGCTGATATGCAACGCGCGTAGACGTGAGCATGAGCACGGGACAAGTTTTGCCAGTCTCTGGTCGATAGTAGAGAGCTGCGCAGGACTCCGAAACGCGATTATAACTCCGACTCCACCGGAATTGGAGTCTGTAAAACATAATTCTCCGGAGTCGTAAAAGTTCACTCTAAAGGTCCCTATAGGTTGCTCTCTCTAGTTAACAAAATTTCGGAGTTATTCGCAGTCGGAATCGGAGTCAAAAAAGTTGACTCTGCAGGTCCCTAGTGGATAGTATTACGTTAAACCCACACCCATGCCCTCAAGATTTTCGAATTTTATTGTTATCATGTAAGGGGATTTTCTCGATTCTTACTTTCCATAGTTTGTACGTTCTTAAGTTACGTATTATGTCTTGACCTATTGAATATTTATATAAAACATTGTGTATATTTATTTTAGGTGATAATAAATCTTTACCTCGTTCAACATCCTCATTAAATAATCCTTCAAATAATATGCCAACAATAAATTATGAATTAATTGGTATTGTCATTCATTCAGGTCAAGCTAATGCTGGTCATTATTATTCATTTATAAAAGATATTCGTCGTCGTCATTCAAATAATACAAATCAATGGTATCGTTTTAATGATACATCTGTTGAAGAAATTCAATTAACTGAACAAATGCTTGAAGAAGAATGTTTTGGTGGAACATTTCGTGTTCAAAAAGATAATAATAATTCGACAGAAGAACGTACACGTTTTTGGAATGCATATATGCTTATATATCAATGTATTGAACCATCAAAATTACTTCCACCACCACCGCCAGTTCCATCATCACCTAATACAATTCGTTCATCACGTCATATTCCAGGTACAGCTGTTCGTGTACAACATCGTCCACCAAATCAACGTGATTCATTATCACAATTAGCTGATTTAGTTGTACGAAGTGAAAATAGTGATTTATTTAAAATTGAAAAACCTTTAATCCCATCACGTGTCTTAGCTTGTGTTAAAGATGAAAATCTTGAATTTTTAAAAAATCGTGATACATATTGTGAAGATTATTTTCAATTTATATATAAATTATCAAATATATGTTTTGATGATATAAATATACCATTTGATATGGAATTTATTGAAAATGATAATGATGAAACATCCTATGATTTATGTACAAAATTAGCATTAAATTTTCTATTCAATACACATTTACGAACACATCGTCGGCTACGTAAAGATTGTTTACAACAATGGGTACAATTATTATCACGTTTATTTAATAAAAATCTTTCATCATGTGAAATTTTTTATAATTTATTATATGAAAGAAAAGAAAATGGGTTAAAATTATATTTACTTGATTGTCCTATTGAAGATATACGTTTTATATTTGAACAAATATGTGAACAAGTTTTACAAGCAACATATTCACATTTAACTGAAAAAAATCATCATATACAAGAAACAAATTCTAATGATAATCATGAAACATTAATTATTAATATTGATAATAATTTACTAACATTAATGAAACAATTTATTGAACAATTAATAAATTTATTAGATAAATCTGTTGTTGAACAAGTTAAACAATCTCAAGCATTTTTTCAATTAATTTATTCATATATAAAAATGAATCCAAATGCTATTGATTATTTATTACAATTAAATACATTTACACGTTTAATGAATTTTCTATTAGGAGAAAATCTTGATACACGTCGATGGAATTCCGGACAAGCGAAAGAATTTGGTATTATACATGAAATAATTGCAACATTAGTGTTAGCTTGTAATTCAACAACAGAAATATTTGATCAACAACAATTACAATCAAAAACACATATGAACATATATTTTCAAGGCAAATTAGCTAATAGATATTTAAAAGAAATTTGTTATGCTTTTCAAGAAGTTTCACCATCACAATTAATACGTACAATACAATTATTAGAAAGAATAGCATATAATAATGAAACTTTTTCTGAACAACTTATTCGAATTATTCTACAATCAATTGTACAAGCACATACAAATGATCTGAAATCATTATTTAAATTACTAAGTCATATTTTGGTAAGTCTATTATTATACTTTCATTTCACTGGGTTTTTATGGAAGTGATTAAAAATATTTTCGTGTTCGCGTATAAACCAGTGATTTATCTAGAGGGAGGGCAAGGATGGCAGCGCCCTCCTGGAGATCGATTTTGCCCTTCCGAAAATTGCAATTTTTATGCTTATACTGTGTATTTTCCTTCCAGAAATTAGGTTTTCGCCCTTCCGGAAATCGCTATCGCGCTCTCGGAAGGAAAAATCTAGATAAAACACTGGTATAAACTATTCGTTTAATGCCTTTGAGTTCAAGTAAAATAAAATCAATATCGAGAATAGATTCTAAAAGTCTGATTGGTTAAATAATGTTGAGAACTGCGAATTAACAATAACAGACTCAGAGAATCAGAAGTAGAGAACACATCAAGGGATGTATCGAGCCCGAACCTCTCGAGCTCGGTTACGCGCCAGCTCGGGCTTAGTCAGTCTCGGACTCGGTCAGTTTCGGTCTCGGGCTTGGATGGGAGGATGGGTGTGGGTGGGTATGGGTGCGAGTGAAAAGGATAGTATCCGCACTCACCACATCCACGCCCATCTCCATATTCAAGTCTTGACCGAACCCCAGAGTCTCTGTCAGGGCTCGGTACATCCCTAAACACATCTTCCGCATGATAAATATGTGAGTAGCGTTTCAGTTTTCGAGAAGTATTGTTCGGATAAACATTTTCATTTATTATTTTAGTTAATTGAAGATTCATTACAAACTAAACGAGTTCAACTAGCATTTGCAAGCACCAATGAATCTAGTAATGGTGATAATTGTCAAATATTTAATGGACTTTATTCACTTATTCAAACAAGTATTGAAACTGAACAACGACGAGCTTATCAAACGGTTAAATTTCTTATTAATCTGTCGAATACGTAAATATGAAAAAGAAAAGAAAAGAAAATAATATTTTTATTTATTGATTTTATTTTATATAGAAGTAATGCATGTAAAGATTATTTTTCGTCTACTGCTAATCAATGGGAATTTGCAATAAATTGGCTTAAACAACAAATGCAAACATCATGGCAATGGTCACCAGCACAAAATGTATCAAATGAAGATACTGATACACGTTCATTTCAACGTACACGTAGTGCACAATTTACATTAGAACAAGCTCAATCTCTTCTTCAACAAACAACAGCAACAACAACAACAACAACAACAAATAATGATGCATCAACAAGTGAATTAATG